AATTGAAATTTATTTTTAATTGCGAAAATGATTTAAAACTATAACTGTTTAAAAATTTAATTAATTTTAATGCTGTAATAATGTTTAAAACTCAATTATTAAAATTATTTAAGTTGAAAAATGACCACATCGAATGTGACCAGTGCCCATACAGAGCATAGAAAATATTCAATTAAGTTCAAATTACGCCTTTTTTCAAATTAAGTTATATTATATAGTTGTTTACACACTTAATTAAATTGAAATTTGTCATTACTATAAATTATTTTCAAATTCTAAATACAATAACTAATACTAATTGCAATAATATTAAAATTTTAAATCTGAATTAAAATTTAATTTTAATTGGAAAATAATTTAAAACTATCACTGTTTAAAAATTTAATTAATTTTAATGCTGTAATAATGTTTAAAACTTAATTATTAAAATTATTTAAGTTGAAAAATGACCACACCGAATGTGACCAGTGCCCATACAGAGCATAGAAAATAATCAATTAAGTTCAAATTATGTCTTTTTTCAAATTGAATTATATTTTTAAGCAGTTTAAACACCTAATTAAATTGAAATTTGCTGATACCAGAAATTATTTTTTGTTCAATATACTAAATCTAATACATATTGCCGCATTTTCTTAATATTAAAATTTTAAATTTGAATTCAAATTTATTTTTAATTGCGAAAATGATTTAAAACAATCACTGTTTAAAAATTTAATTAATTTTAATGCTGAAATAATGTTTAAAACTCAATTATTAAAATTATATAAGTTGAAAAATGACCACACCGAATGTGACCAGTGCCCATACAGAGCACAGAAAATAATCAATTAAGTTCAAATTATGTCTTTTTTCAAATTAAATTATATTTTTTAGTTGTTTAGACACTTAATTAAATTGAAAATTGCTAATACAAGAACATAAAAAATTAATTTTAATGCTGAAATAATGTTTAAAACTCAATTATTAAAATTATTTAAGTTGAAAAATGACCACACCGAATGTGACCAGTGCCCATACAGAGCATCGAAAGTAATCAATTAAGTTCAAATTATGTCTTTTTTCAAATTAAATTATATTATTTAGTTGTTTATACACTTAATTAAATTGAAATTTGCTATTACTAGAACTTATTATCTAGTTCTATATACAATAACTAATACTAATTGCAACATTTTTTTATTATCAAAATTTTAAATTTGAATTCAAATTTATTTTTAATTGCGAGAATGATTTGAAACTATCACTGTTTAAAAATTTTATTAATTTTAGTGCTGAAAAAATGTTTAAAACTCAGTTATTAAAATCATTTAAGTTGAAAAATGACCACACCGAATGTGACCAGTGCCCATACAGAGCATAGAAAATATTCAATTAAGTTCAAATTATGTCTTTTTTCAAATTGAATTATATTTTTAAGTAGTTAAAACACGTAATTAAATTGAAATTTGCTGATACGAGAAATTATTTTTTAGTTCAATATACAAAATCTAATACAAATTGCAACACTTTTTAATATTAACATTTTAAATTTGAATTGAAATTTATTTTTAATTGCGAAAATGATTTAAAACTATCACTGTTTAAAAATTTAATTAATTTTAATGTTGAAATAATGTTTAAAACTTAATTATTAAAATTATTTAAGTTGAAAAATGACCACACCGAATGTGACCAGTGCCCATACAGAGCATAGAAAATAATCAATTAAGTTCAAATTATGTCTTTTTTCAATTTAAATTATATTTTTTAGTTGTTTAGACACTTAATTAAATTGAAAATTGCTAATACAAGAACATAAAAAATTAATTTTGATGATGAAATAATGTTTAAAACTCAATTAATAAAATTATTTTAATTGAAAAATGACCACACCGAATGTGACCAGTGCCCATACAGAGCACAGAAAATATTCAATTAAGTTCAAATTATGTCTTTTTTCAAATTAAATTATATTTTTTAGTTGTTTAGACACTTAATAAAATTGAAAATTGCTAATACAAGAACTTAAAAAATTAATTTTAATGCTGAAATAATGTTTAAAACTCAATTATTAAAATTATTTAAGTTGAAAAATGATCACACCGAATGTGACCAGTGCCCATACAGAGCACAGAAAATATTCAATTAAGTTCAAATTATGACTTTTTTCAAATTAAATTATATTTTTTAGTTGTTTAGACACTTAATTAAATTGAAAATTGCTAATACAAGAACATAAAAAATTAATTTTAATGCTGAAATAATGTTTAAAACTCAATTAATAAAATTATTTTAATTGAAAAATGACCACACCGAATGTGACCAGTGCCCATACAGAGCGCAGAAAATAATCAGTTAAGTTCAAATTATGTCTTTTTTCAATTTAAATTATATTTTTTAGTTGTTTAAACTCCTAATTAAATTGAAATTTGCTGATACCAGAAATAATTTTTTAGTTCAAAATACTAAATCTAATACAAATTGCTTCATTTTCTTAATATTAAAATTTGTTTTTAATTGCGAGAATGATTTAAAACTATCACTGTTTAAAAATTTAATAAATTTTAATGCTGAAATAATGTTTAAAACTCAATTATTAAAATTATTTAAGTTGAAAAATGACCACACCGAATGTGACCAGTGCCCATACAGAGCACAGAAAATATTCAATTAAGTTCAAATTATGTCTTTTTTCAAATTAAGTTATATTATTTAGTTGTTTAAACACTTAATTAAATTCAAATTTGCTGATACCGGAAATTATTTTTTAGTTCAATATACATAAAACAAAACAAATTGCGGCATTTTCTTAATATTAAAATTTTAAATTTGAATTCAAATTTATTTTTAATTGCGAAAGTGATTTAAAACTATCACTGTTTAAAAATTTAATTAATTTTAATGCTGAAATAATGTTTAAAACTTATTTATTAAATTTATTTAAGTTGAAAAATGACCACACCGAATGTGACCAGTGCCATACAGAGCACCAAAAATATTCAATATAGTTCAAATTATGTCATTTTTCAAATTAAATTATATTTTTTAGTTGTTTAAACACCAAAATAAATTGAAATTTGCTAATACAAGAACTAAATAAAATTAATTTTAATGCTGAAATAATGTTTAAAACTGAATTATTAAAATTATTTAAGTTGAAAAATGACCACATCGAATGTTACCAGTGCCCATACAGAGCACAGAAAATAATCAATTAAGTTCAAATTATGACTTTTTTCAAATTGAATAATGAATTTAAATTCCATCCCTGAACATAGCTAGCTATTCATTAATTAAATATATTGGATGCTATCCACCTAACGAGCAATATACATTTGTTGTGATTCGCTTGCTGTCTGTATATCACTGTATAATAAATAAAACTCCTCAGTATAACTTCGAACACGCATTTAAATGCATTTAAATAAATTAATATGTATGTTATTATTTAGGATGAGAAACGATAATTGTACTCAGTTTGATTCAGTTTTCTTTCCCTCTAACCTCTAATTTTCAATTCAGAAGTAATATCGTAATTTGTTTAGAGAACTATTAATTCCAAACCTATTAACTATCCACAAGAATTTGTGTTTCCGAAAATTCTCTTCCAGTATTGATGCTCCTGAAATGTTGAAATGCAAAAACATCAAAAGAAACTTGAAATCAATAAGATTATTATTAAAGTACATGAGGAATTATGAACAGTACAATCATTACAAACAAAAACGGGAAGTATCAAGACCGTCCAACTATCCAAAATGACTGCAATCAACATGCACAAAGAATCCTACTAAATACTGACTTGAACATTTTATCACAAGAATTCGAAATCGAACAAATCAGAGGATCACTAAGATATACAATATATAATAAGGGATACATCTCATGTTTACACACATACCAGTCACTCAATCCTGAAAAATTCAGAAGTAATATCGATTAAGTCTTCTCCCTCTAATTTATCAAGTCGATTTCCAAAATTGCAATAAATAAGGAAATATCATCGGAAACTAGCTGATATAAACGTTCGCATTAAGATCACTTTGGACAATCATTATTTGTTTTGGAAATACTAAAATATGAAGATGAGATAGAAATTTTGGGAGTAAAATTAGTACAAAAGTGAACTAAATATGCGGACAAATGTTATAACTTAATCATTCGCTAAAATTCAGAGCAATCACCAATCTCTTCATCTTATTTCTATTTCCTGTCATAGAAACATGAAATGAGTCACTTCTTCTTCATTGCTTTCATATGATTCAGTGCTGAGCCAGCTTAAACCATTCGATTTGAGCCGCATTAAAACTGTGAGACAGCCAGATCTCCTCCTTTTTACCATCAACGTGTTTCAAGATGCATATTAATGGCTAAAAAAAAAACCAAATCTTCAAGACTCGAAATTTTTATGGAACCATCAACAGTGTCAACTAATTTTTTAATGCGTAATCACATACGTTATGTAGGTATAATTTCACATCCTGATAAGGAATTAATATCTTAAAATAAAAGACAAAAGCAATAGTGTTGAATAAAGAATTTACAAGAAAAAGAGAACAACCTTGCTAGGTGCAAAATCATTCAAACCAACAATTGATATCTTGTCGTCTGGCTTAACTTTATTGTAATCATTTGGATCAGCAAACGCTTTTCAGAAACTGAAAACACCTGATATATTCAACATCAATTAATAAGGAATTTATTGCCTCCTATGTAAGATCCACTAAATCGAAATACTTCAGCTAATTTAAAGTAAAAAGACAACAAAATTTGAATGGAGTTTTGAAACAATCATTATACGTTTTAAAGTATTATGTGACTATATTAAAAGCGGTCGATAAGGTTTCAAAAATCTTATTATTTGTGGTGAAGCAAAAGGTTCTTGATAATGCAAAAGCCAAATAAGTTAAATATTTTCTTTCCAGATTAAATTTACAGCGAACTGAAATGTAAAATACTTACCGTGAATCCGAGAAAGGTTTTTACAATAATTGCACGTCCACCGAAATGTCTAGGTTCTAAAGCTGCATGTTCACGAGATGAGCCTTCACTGCTATCCAAGCTACTCCATCCGACTTATAGTGACGTGTCGTTTGAGATGCCGTATCATACTTGCCCGTCAAATGATTGCGAACTTTATAATTAGAAATTCTTTCCCATAATCTAATAAATAAAGTCCTGAAAATTGAGTGTTGTCGGTTTACAAAAATCTTTGAAGAAAAATTTAATTATCAAACCTTTTCGAACCAGTACTCAACAACTATAATTACCTTGTTCATTTCATCATTTTCCGCATTGACAGCAGTTAAGAATAGATTATTTGAAATATTATCCAAATGACCACGGAATTTCAACCAGGGTCCAGCAGCACTGATATGGTCTGTTGTACACTTTCCTTTTACCTGAATTTTAAAATACCAAGAGCAAAAATTAAATCATGAAGATAATGAAATTCTAAAATGAAAACTGGATTAATCTTCTGTGCAACTTACTTTAATTAATATTAACATATTTTCAAGATCCTTCCCATCCCAAGGATTGAATGAATGGTTTCAGAAGTTGTAAACGTTCACTTATTTTTCATTGACTACAAACGTTGCCGTGTCCTGATGGAGCCTGATAATAGTTCACACCTGAGTCATAACCTTTTTGTGGCAAGCTATGACCGCTTGGTGCAATTTGCAACTTGAATTTGCTACCTGAAATAACATTTCCTTCAACTGCGAAATAAAAACATTTAAGCCAAAATTTGCAGAAGTACTCATCATATCAAAACTACCAAAAAACCGTAGCTTCTTCAGTGTACCGAAACCAGACACTTTCATCTTTCGAAATATCTTCTAAACCAGCAATCATTCTTTCAAGATATTAGCTTAGAAAATATTTTCTGTTGACAATGTTCAGCTGAACAAAAGTGATACGTAAATGTAAAAATTTTTGAGGGAATATAGTACTGATATACCACGCTATATGTGAGTATTTGAAAATATTTGTGTCTCCTGTCGATCTCACAGCTACGTAAGCAGTCAAAATTTATAAAGTCACGTTAAAAAACTTTTAAAATCACAGATGTCTAGTAGAATGCATATTAGCAAGCATAACAGAAGCCTAATAACTAGACATAGTCCTATGTGTAGTCCAAAAATTATATAAGTGGTGAAATTGTGTCACTATTAACATTTTATTAACTTCAACAATTTCAAACAATTATAGCAGAATTTTTAATCAAAACAGAAATCAAACAGAATTAATATATATTAATAACTAACGATGAAAAGTGGTAATACATAATTACTGCAAAATGATTCAAATGAATTGGTATCACAACAATAAGAAATTGCTAATTCTGTTAATAGCAATTAAAAACAATAAATGGCTGATTAGCTTGAATCAATGCATTTTTATTCAACAACATACCTCAAAAAAAAAAAAAAAAAACGATTCGTTGGAATAACCAAATGATATTCAGGCATGTAATCGAAACAAAAAGAATCTTAATACAACCATAACTTAATAATAAATAAAAAAAGGATACATAAGAACCATGGACGTGAAGATGATGGCAACCAGCGTAGTATGACGACTGACATCAGATTGGGATGTGTTAGAGAGATCGAGAATATGATCAAATGATATTCCCTGTGAAGGGCAAATGGGTTGAATGGTATACACCGAGTTTTCGTGCAAATTAAGTAAGATAAGATATTTGCATATATTCTCCGAGCGCGAGAGAGTATTACTTCAGTAGGAAATGTTTTAAATGATTCTCATAAATGATTTTTTCAACTTTTTTTTTTTCTTAAATTGGAACTGGGTTAAAAAAAAATTGTAGGGTATTTGATGACTTAAAAAAGATGAGATTGTGCGAAATTTTCCAAAATATAATCGAGAAATTAATTTCAGGAAAAATACAATTTTTGTGCGACATGCTGAGAATCATAGCGCCGTTTATCGAATGCATCAAAAGGAAGTAAGTAGATATTTTCATATATCCCTTCAATAGGAAATATTACTTAAGTAGGAAATGTTTTTATAAATTATTTTTTTCAATTTTTTTTTTATAAATTAG